CTGTCGGTGGGGGCGAGCCGCGCTGCCTCGCGCTGGCGCCCGCAGACGTGGGGGCTACGCCTCGCAGCAGAGCGCAGGCCTGGACCCCCTCCTTGGTTTTGTCAGGACATCGCTGCCGGGTTTCTAGACGTAAATCGTGCCGTAGCAAACGAGCCAAACTAGAGATGAGCCTGCTCACAGCCTGGGGGTAGGGAGACGTGTCTGACCAGAGTTTATAGCATGAAGCCATCTTTAAAGTGAATATGCGGCCAACGAGTCCTGGAGGTTGCCACAGCGGATATTAAAACTTGAAGTGAAAATTCCTCAAGGCACGTTCATGTTTTCCTCACCTTGATTTGTAGATGCCAAGAAGGAAGGGGTGGGGGGGAAGGGTAAATCAAGGCCAGTATCCTCATAGAAAACCCAGAGAGGCCAAACATAGGATTCATGTTGTTCTGCCATCTATCATCTAAATGAAGGAAAAGGAAAAAAACAAACCAATAACACTATGAATGTGTCTGAAGAATTTTCCTTTCCACTAATGATGTTTGGCAGCCTTGAGATTTGTTCAGCAAATCTGTGGGCCAGATTCTCAACTGATGTACAATCAGCAGTCACATTGCTAACTTCAACATAGTCAAATTATAGTAGGTAATTATCAAACCTTATATAGCACACTTCAAGCCCCAGATAGTAAAGGTAATGGTTGTTGACTGCAATGATTCAACAGCAAAATCACTCCGTTTCCAAGCTAATTCCAAGTAGTGTTCATTTGGAGGATTCTGTTTTGTTTACTAAAATGCCTGTTGGTTTAATAAAAGATACCAAATTCACCCAAGGAACCTTGTCTGCCTATGTGCTTCATAGTTTAATTCGTCTGTTCATGGTGTCTGCTATTAGAGCAAAGGGTTTGTTTTGGTTTTGGGGGGTTTTTTTCTGAAATTAAATCAGTTCACCATAGAATATTTGCAGTATGTTCAGAATGGTTTGCAACTCCTATTACAAGTTTATTAGCACAAAATTAAAGGTGTCCGAGTATAGCAGACAGTACACACCACCAATTATTCTTCTAGAATAGTCTGTAATATATGTCATGTAATATCATCACTGTTCAGAAATCTATATCAATATAAGTTGACCCATCTGCAGTAAAGTAACTTTTTCACAGAACAATTTCCAATAAACAGAATTTGCAGTTCACAATGGCAGCGGATTGAAACATTTCAGGACATCTGTTCCCCTTTCCTACTGAGTTTTACTACAGTTGTATTCACTACCAGTATGTCCCACTGCTGTCCCTCTTCCCATTCAAGTCTGCTGGTAACAAGGGACCAGATTTCTATGTGCTTGTTCTATGTTAGCGGTCCCTCTGATTGCAATAGAACTTGTCACATGAGCAAAAGGGAGCAGGACTGGCTATAACTGCGTCAGTACAAGTCTTGATACATCTAAGCGGCTATTGAATCTGTATTGAAACAGTAGTTACAAGATTTTGACTAACACCAGCAAATGTAATAGACCTATAACTGTACAGCCACAGATAAATTTTGATCATAGTCTTTTGATGCTAAGGTTCCAGTGTTTAAAGTTCAGCTCTTCAACTGGAGGAGGGATTTAATATTTATTACTTAACTGGGGGAGTGTGGTAAAAGTTTTATATATTACTGAAGGGGAATTAACCAATTTGTCATCTGATTTTCATCTGTCTTGTGGTACTGTCTTTATGCCACTAATAACTATACATTTGTATGGCAGGGACAGCTATGAATATAATAGATTACACTAATGTCACCTTTTACTGCAGCCTGTTTTGTTTTCGTACCATTCCGGAATTGTGCAGTATTTCCCTCCCCCCTGCCAAGCATTTTCCATGCCCTGTTTACTGGAGTTTGTCAAAAAATTCAGTGTATGTTGCTCAGGTGTTGAGGAAGAGGATCTGAATTTTTCCTCAATGTTCTCGTCTCTCCTTTTGTTTAGGACCTTGAACAAAAATTAAAGAATTCAGATTCCCTGTTCCTGCTGGATATTTTGCAAAAGGTAAAATGTGTTAATTTTATATCTTCACATTTAACATTTGTACCACACAGCAGACTAGAACTAATCACAAAGTTAAGAAGCTCCTTGGTATAACAGAAATAGAAATAATCTTTTCACTGAAGTGCTGGAACAGGCTACCCAGAGAGGCTGTGGAATCTCCATTCTTGGAGGTTTTTAAAGCCTGGCTTGACAGAACCCCTGGCTGGGTTGATCTAGCAATGGTCCTGCTTTGAGCAGGGGGTTGGATTACATGGCCTCCTGAGGAAAATTAGGGTTGGAAGTGACCTATGATTGTACCCTTTTAAATGGTAACTTAAAATAAAAAAGACCAAAAAGTTCAAAATCATATAAAATTAGGGGTGGAAGGGACCCCAGAAGATAATCTAATCCAACCCTCTGCTAAAAGCAGGACCATCCCCAACTGTATCATCCCAGCCAAGGCTTTGTCCAGTCAGGTCTTACCATCCTCCAAGGATGGAGATTCCACAGCCTCTTTAAGTAGCCTGTTCCAGCATTAACTGCCTTCCTAGTGAGAGAGTTTTTCCTAATATCTAACCTAAATTTCCCGTCCTGCAACTTAAGACCATCGCTCTTCGTTTTGTCATCTTCCACCGCTGAGAACAGTCTGGCTCCATACTCTTTAGAATCATCCCTCTGGGAGTTGAAGGCTGCTATTAAGACCCCTCTTAGTCTTCTCTTCTCTAGACTAAGACCAGTTCCTGCAGCCTTTCCTCATAAGTCCTGTTACCCAGCCCCCTAACAATTTTCATTGCCCTCTGCTGCACTCTCCAATTTGTCCACATACTTTCTGTAATGGGGAGTCCTAAACTAGACACAGTACTCCAGATATGACCTCACCAGCACCAAAATAGAAGGGCAACACTCTTGGCAATGTTCCTACTGTTAGCATTCTTGGCAACTGCTGCCTCATATTCAGTTTATTGTCCAGTGTAACCCCCAGGTCCATTTCTGTAGAGCAGCTGCTTAGCTAGTTAGTCCCCAGCCTATACCAGTACATGGGATTGTTCCATCCTAAGTGCAGGACTTTGCACTTCTCCTTATTGAACCTCATGTCATTTCTTTTCATCTGATCCTCCAATTTGTCTAAGTCTTTCCAAATCCTAGCTTTGCTATCAAGTGCATCTTCTACTCCCCACAGCTTGCCATCTATCATTTGCACATTTGCTAAGGGTGCACTCTATGCCATCTTCCAGGTCCTTGATGAAGACACTGAACAAAACTCACCCCAGGACCAACTCCTGGGGCACTCCACTTGAAGCTGACCAGGCTGTGGTTCCCCGGATCCTCCTTCTTCCCCTTAGAGATGAGCACTATGGGCTCCAATGCTCATGCAGGGAGGCTGCACCAACATGCTGTAATTACAGTGTGGAGCTGATTCACTTAATCAAGTCTGCTGGGGTGTGCTTTAAAGCTGGTTCGATGAGCTTTAGTTTAAAGCTCCCCACCACCATTTTTCAGCATGGGGATACTTATACATATGACACTTTGGATGCTTTTAATTGGTGCCACTCTCCGAGCTGCACTAATTAAAGCACCTCCCCATCCCTGCCTCCTGTAGCAAGTGTATAAATGTCCTATATTTGCCCTTTTCCAATCATCTGGGACCTCCCTGAGTCACCACAAGTTTTCAAAGATAATGGCCAGCGACTCTGCAACCACATCAGCCTACTCCCTCAGCTCCCTTGTGTGCATCCTGTCTGGCCCCATGGAATTGCAGACATCCAACTTTTCTAAATATTCCCTAACCTGTCCTTTCACTACAGTCAACTGGTCACCTGCTCCCCAAACTGCTGCCAGTTGCAGTAGTCTGGGAAATTACTTGCCTCTGAAAACAAAGGTGAAAGAGGCATTGAATACTTCAGCCCTTTCTGCATCCTCTGTCACTAGGTTGCCTCCCCCATTTAGTAAGAGATCCACACTTTCCCTGGTAGTTATCTTCTTGCTGACATATTTGTAGAAGCCCTTTTTGTTATCCTTCATGTCCATTGCTAGCTGAAACTCCAGTTGAGCTTTGGCCTTCCCAACTTCATCCCTGCATACCTGACCAGTACTCTTATACTCCTCCCCAATTGTTTGTCCAAGTTTTCACTTCTTGTAAGCTTCCTTTTTGTGTTTTAACTTACTCAAGTGATCCCTGCTAAGCCAAGCTGGTCTTCTGCCACACTTGCTAGTCTTCCTGTGCATCAGGATGGCTCATTCCTGCCCCCTCAGTAAGGGTTCTTTAAGATACAACCAACTCTCTTGGACTCCTTTCCCCCTCAGGACAGGCCTTCCAGAGGATCCTGCCCATAAGTTCCCTGAGTCAGTCAAAGTCTACTTTTCTGAAGTCCAGGGCCCAGTCCTGCTCTCCTTCCTTTCTTTCCTCAGCATCCTGAATTCAATCATCTCTTGGTCTTTGCTGTCTAGGTTGGCATCCACGTCTTCATTCTCCACCAAGTCTTCCCCATTTGTGAGCTACAGGTCAAGAAGATGATGACCCCTAGTTGACCTCTCCAGTACTCGCACCAGGAAGTTGTCCCCAATATTCTTCAAAAGCTTCCTGGATTGCCTGTGCACTGATGTATTGCTCTCCCAGCAGATATCAGGGTGACTGAAGTCCCCCCCTAAGAACCAGGGCCTGTGATCAGGAAAACTTGCTCACTGTTTGAAGACAGCCTCCTCATTGTCCTCCTCTGTAGCAGACACCCACCTTGACATCACCCTTGTGATGGATTTGATTCAGATCTAGAATTAATGATAAATGAATTCAAATATACATTTAAATCACTGTTTATGCCCAGTAGAAACTAACAAGACTCCACGAAACTGTTCCCAGCTCTGGGAGCACAGAGAACATCAGGTCTTTCGTTTTATACTTCTTGCATATGTAGAATTCCTGAGTGAGGTGTTTACACAAGTGGAAAGTATGGATTTGGAGTTAAGATCCACCAAGCCAGTGCAAACACACAATTTCACGTTATAAGCAAGTCATCCTATGCCATCTCATATACCCATGGTGTTATAAGAATAACTTGAGGGACAAATTCAGCCAGGAAAGTGGTTTATTATAACTTACCAATATTTGCTAGGGGCAGTTAAGAGCATCAGAAGCCTTACTTTCCAACTGCTCTTTTCCTGAGGACCAGCCTAACACTTACCGAGTGAACATTAGCAGGATTTGAAAAAGAGAGGGCATGATTTTGCCTGGAGACTGTTTCATGGCACCATTGTAGAGTATATCATGCTTTATGTAGAGTTTATATATAGGGCCCAGTCTGGCAAACTGGAAAGTTAAAAAAAAAATACCCAACAAAACCATGCAGAGGAAAGAGCCAGACTAGATTTCCTCTCCATTTTAGTGTTTATTTTTAAAGGAGCCAAGTGGAACATACATAGGCTTCCTCAGAACTGTGACCTAACCGTGTCAGAGTTGATACTGGTGTGTATTTTTGAAGTGAAATCTCTTAGCTGAAAATTGAAAGCACTGTGCTTCTCAGGGGACAGAAGTGAATAGTAGTCACTATTCATGTTCTGTTCCTTCAGTGCTTCTAACAAAATGCTCAGCTGAGAGTTGGTTATTCTGCAATTTGCATTTTATCATTTCAGACTATTCTTCACCCCTTAAGCATGAAATATCCCCCTTCTGTGAAGTACAGAAGATGCTTTTTAGCTGAACTCATTAAAAAGGTAGTCTTTGGTTTTATATTGCTTGGTATTTCATTTTTTTCCATCTTTTAATGTGGTTCTCTCTGCTGGACCAGTTCTTAAAAATAGTTTGAACATACACTTTTTTGACAACATTGGCCCAGGCTGAAGTGATTGTTTATTATAACAAAAAGTATCATTAAATGCAAATATTATGCCCAAGGATAAAATAAAATGGCATTCAACTATGCACTTATTGTCTGCGTTTAAATAAAATACCCAGGGATCTGAAATTCTCCACTGTTCTTTCACACAGCATGAGTCTACAGCAGCAGAACCCTTAGATGAATTATATGAAGCACTAGCAGATACTTTATTTAAAGAAGAATCTACCCACTGTTATAAGAACTACTTACTGGTAAAAAGCTAATGATGTCTTCATTGTTACAAGTCTGTTTTATCATTTAAACTGAGCCGTAATGGGCTTAAAAATAAAGCCCAGAAAGCCTAGGAAGAAAGTACTTCTTGCCTTTTTCTAGATGTTAATATTGATTTTAAAATAAATGATATGCTGCTTATGCTGATGCTTCGTTTTTCCCTTTCAGCCCACAGGAGAATCTATTACACTTTCAGAGACTGTGGCAATTATCTCACAGGGAACCACAGGACTTGTCACATGGGATGCTGCCCTTTATCTTGCTGAATGGGCAATAGAGAATTCTACAGTTCTCAATAACAGGTAATGGATTCCTACATACCTGTAAAATTGCATTTAGAAAGCCGAGAAGACAGAGCTGACTTAAATGTTTTCACTTGTATTGAAAATGAGTTACTTGAGCATAATTTTACATTGCACCAAAAAAATAAAAAGTACAAAACCTATAGAAATGCATAATATTAAGTCCTAGACAAAAGAATCCAACCCAGATATTGAGAAAACTTAGTAGGATTCCAATTTCCCTTAAAACATGTTCAAATCATCAGTAATAAGAGGTTCATAAAATACTTCCATCTTTCATCTGAACATCTTAGAGCACTTCACTAGTGAATTGTACTCAACATAGCTCCCAGGAAGCAGTGCATACATATTTTCTAGTTTTGCTGATGGTTTAGCTGAGGCACATAGAAAAGAAAAAGACTTGCTTATGGCATTATAGAGACTAGAAACCAAGAATTCTGATTTTGTTGCTAGGCCACACTGTCTCCCATTTATTATTTCTGCGATTTGCCTTTATTGCTGGAGTGAAGCATTAATGGACTAACTGCTGCTCTTTTTTGTCATTAGGGTATAACAGCTGAGCTTTGATACAGGAGAGTTCATAGTTTCATTGAGTTTAAGGCCAGAATGGATCTTTAGATAGTGTAGTCTGACCTTCTCTCCATTACAGGTCATTAAATATCACCTATTGAGCCCAACAATTTAATTAGACTAAAGCATTTCAGCCCTCAGGAGATTACGTGCGCGCCCCAGACAAAAAACAGGAGAGTTCAAGATACCCCCACCATGGGCCCCTGCAACGCGGGGAATTGATTACATGAGTTACATTCAGATGATCCTAGTGAGCGACCCATAGTTCATGCTGCAGAAGGCAGCAACCCACTGCGTACAAGGACTCTGCCAATCTGACCTGGGGAAAGTTTCTTCCCAACCCAAATCTGGCAGTCAGTTTGACAGTGAGCATTCAAGTAAGAGATCAGCTAGGGGAAGAATTTTGTCTCCGTTGCTAGGTCACACAGAAGCAGTTTCCCCTTTGGCAAATATCAGATCATATGCAGCCTGTAGTATTAGACTCCATCTGACTTTTTTAGTAGTAGTAGTAGTAACCCTCCCCTCACCCCCCCAGATACAGGATCAAGGACATCCAGTTTTTTGGGGTGGAAGAGTTGCTTAGGGTGGTCCAAAGAGGTATAGTTAGGATCATAACACAAAACTTAAAAAGGAGAGCATTTAAATATGACCATCTGCAGGTAGTAATATTGTTCTGAGCTTCAGGAGATGTTGGTTTTATACAGCTTTTCACTCCCCTATTTATTAAGATTCAGTTATAATTATAAAAATGGATTTCTTACTCGTAGCACTTAGAATTAGGATAGAAACTGTTCCAGTAATCCTGGAGTAAACTATCTGATTTTTCTTTTTGAAGGGTACATGTCATGTTTTTCAAATTTCATAATTGGCTGTTGTTTAGTTTCCCAGTAAAATTCTTATTTTATTCCATCAACCTTCAGGACAGTCTTGGAATTAGGAAGTGGAATTGGCCTCACAGGAATAGCAATCTCCAAAGCCTGTAATCCAAAGGCATATATATTTAGTGACTATCATCAGTGTGTCCTTGAGCAACTGAAAGAAAATATCTACTTGAATGGCTTTGTTTTGGAATCCGAAGACGTGAATTGCACCAAAATGCAATCTAGAGACCAAACAGCCAAAAGAGTGGGTTTCCAAGGACCAAAAGTAGCTGTTGCAGAACTTGATTGGGAATCAGTTACACAAGAGCAGCTTTGGGAACTTCATCCAGATGTTGTCATTGCAGCAGGTACAAGACATTCTTGGTCACTTTGTTAAGGGATAACGTAATACAAATAATGAAAATAATAATAAAAATAAACATATATTAAGTATAGAAATTTACCGAGTCCAGATGATCAGTCTACCAATCATACCTCAGTGCACAAAGCATGACAGTATGTAACACATTAATTTGTACTTAATTTTACCATCCTGTCTTCAGCCCAATATTCAACAATTGTTTACTGCTCATTGAAAAAGAAATCATGTTTCTTTTTTTATAATTTCTCCTCCTCTTAAAACTGGAGGCAAACTCTACATCATCCAGAGCCCTAAATGGCACCAATTGGCATGGCTGTCATTTTTAGACAGATTCATGTGCATTAAGGAAATATTTCTTTTACGGCTCTTATTTATCTAGTTAGCTTGAAGAGTTTGCTGCATTTTCTTACATACAACATGCCCCCCCAAATAAAACACAAAGTTCCTGTAAATAAAAAGTGATGAGACTTGTAATGTGGAAACAACAAGATACTACCAGTAGGTCATTTGTTGCTTCAGACACAAACTACAGCAGTCAGCCATTAACTCTGGCTTCAAGAGGATTAAGACTAGACTTCAACCCTTCAGCTTGCCAAGCTAGAAACAAGCAGCAACCATCCTGACAGTGGCATTGCATGCACAGCAGGATTTTTTTTCCAGCAAAGAAAATAGCTGATTTGGATGAGAAAGGTGTTGTATGCAGGAAAATACAATAGCAGCAAGCCTAATAATACAGACTAACCATATCGAAACTGCATAACTGTAAGCAGTGGCAACATTTCCTCCATATTTTGTGACTAAGCAAACTAACTGCCTGAGAGTTCAGGTGAGGAAGCCTGCAATGCGATGCTTCGAATCTATTGTCATACAAGTACATTCCACACACACACATACGAATCCTGTCTATTACATAGGGCATTGAAAGTGTTCAATAGCCTATAACAACCAAAGGGAAAAGGTCCAAAACTGAGGATTAAGTATCATACTCTGTTTTCTAGATAACGTGCTACACTAAGGCAGTGATGATCTTTTTCATCAGTGATCCATAATCATGTATTGGCTTCTGTATGACCCCTTTGCATGTTGCAGGTGTTCAGAATCAAGAGTCAAACTACCAAAGCTTAGTGAGCAGAGGTCATTACAAAAAGACTAAGAGGTGGTTGAATCATAGCCCTGAACTATACCACTAAAACTTCCCCTGAAATACAGAAAATGTTACATTGAAGAAACAGTTTCCACCATTAGAAAATTACTCAAGCGAAATTATGATTTATGCTCAATCCTTTATAATAAGATGTTGCAATGTAGACTTCTATCAGTTCTGTTTCAACCTATAAAAAGGATTTTTTTTTTAACTATTGAACCCTCTCCTTTTTGTGTAGATGTGGTCTATGACCCAGAGGTAACTTTATGCCTAATTGGCGTACTACAAAAGCTTTCTGCTTCCAAAGCCAAAGGAAAAAATCCCGAAATCTACATTGCCTTCACGATTCGTAATCCAGACACATATCATCTGTTCCAGACTGAACTTGGTAGGTGTCTTGCTGGTTAAATTCACTGGAATGTGGACTCCTTTCCAGTTTCTTAGCATGTTAGAGATGAATAGAGCAGTTCTTGATTGTGACTACTGTCTCTTAAACCCTTATTCCTACATTTTGATCTATTGGGATCTGTTCAAGAGTAGTGGTCTATCCACATGGGTAAGCTTTCAGGATGCAGATGTGTCTTCTTCTTGTATCTGGCATTTACTATACTGTCAATGTTTACTGTACTAGACAATGTACTGTACTGCCTGCTTGAGGCGAGTTGCAAGACAAGTGATCCTTAACAAAGGGAATATGGCAGTTAGTAGCAAAAGATCATCTCTGTGCTCTAGTGTTTTATCAGCAATAGCTCAGATGAGACCTGAAACTGAGGTTTTTGTTTAATAGTTATTTAAATAAAGGGGAATAGATTCAGTAGTGCTGAGGGAAAACGTGTGGCCTCAAAATTCAGACTTCTGTGGCATACAAAGATGAACAGAAGGTATTTAGTCAAGTGGTTAATTAACAAAATTGTGCTGCATGTATGGCACAAACATATTAAGATTTTTCTTTTTTAAGCACATACCCTGGATACTTATCAGTCCCTTGCTTTCACTGACTATTAAAAACTCATTCTTACAGGATTGGGCACACTGCCAAATCTATATCTTGAATCTTATTAGCAAAAGCATTTATCGCATTTCTTTCTGTTTTCCTTTCTAGGTAAAGTTGGGATTGGATGGCATGTCATTCCTACTCAGAAGAAGAACCTGTTCCCATATGACACACATTCAGACATCACTATTCTACAATTACTTTTATAAACCCAGTGTTATTGCTAGGAGTTAACAGATTAAACTTGAAAAAACCTAGCATTATGTCCCCACAAGCAGGAGCATGCAGTTGCCACGGGGAAAAAAAGAGTACAAATTTGTGCCACTGCTTTTTGCCCCAGCAAAAAGCCCCAATATATGGGATTAGTGTGAGGAAAATGCTCTGGATGGGGTAGGGGAGGCTGGGGCCAGCACCTGGCTGTCCCAGCAGCCTTACCTGGGGTCCTGAGGGCCTCTAGCAGTAGTGATCCAGGCTCATGGAGCTTTGGCCAGCCAGGCTCCAGTTTCGGGTAGCACAAGTGCTTTTTTCCCCTCTGTGTGCTTTTTTTAATATACCAGAATTTCCTGGTATCTAAATTTGGCTCTGCGCTGCGGATATGCAGCATGGATAGCCAAATCACCTGTGGCTGGTGCGTTTTGCAGCACCTCAAAAGCCTTTGAGGTGCCTCAAAAATGCACATGTGCACTCATGTGAATGCAGCCCAGTTGATTATGCAACTGAGCTCAGATTCTTTAGCTGTACTTGATAAGGAGGCTCAGGAAGCAAATTTGGACACTATTACCCATTCATTAAGATCAGTCCTGCAACATGTGGCATTCAGCAAGATACTCTACCATGGTCCTAAAATCATTAATGTTTTTCCTGTAGGAAATGGTTGTTTTATATTAAAGAAACATTTCTATTTGCTCTTGCTTCTGAGCTGTCTTTTTCAGATTTGTGCCAATACCACAAATAAAATCTCTGCCACAGATGTATACATCTTAGTGTAGGTAATGTTACATGTTGCACTTAGATCATAGTAAGCATTAATACAACTTATAATTTTTTCTGAGCAGTTGCATGTTAATGCTTACTATGATCTAAATATAGATCATTTTACCACACCGGAGTCTTGAACTGCACTAGTGCAGACCCCAGGCTGATACCAAAAAACAAACAAAACAAAGTAGCTGATTTTCAGTCCCAGCCCTGGGATCACACAGGAGCTGGTTCAAAGCTCCAGTGCAGTGCCAGGGCTGGGAGCCCAAAGCTGTTTGTCCAGCTCCCCGCTTTCCACTGCACTAGAGCCTTGCTGGTTTAAGAATGTATGGATGCAAGTTTGATTTTACAATTTGGTACAGCAGACAGACAATAGGAAGATTCTGTGGCTTGATGCATGACATTTAAGAACTAGACCGATAATATGTTCAATGAGCCCAATTGAAAGGAATGTCTGGTAAAGGAAAAAAGGGTTGTCTGTCAGAAGACTGTTTCTAGCAAAAAAAAAAAAAAAAAAAAAGAGGCAAGCTCTTATCCAAGGAATACAAAATTGCACAAATAACATTTGACAGACCTAAGGGGCAGAACTGATCTCATTCAAATCATTTTGTTACTTTTAGACAGAAGTCATGCATTATAACCAATGGCAAGATTTTCTTATCAAGCAGTACCACAATGGGCAGGCTTTTAAATATACACAGGGCAGGCATTTAACAAGAAGCTAGTGCCTGTATGCATTTTAAGCATATTAGACCCCAATGCTGCAAACAGATGAGCAGAAGTCCCCTAACTCCATTTCCCCCGCTCCCCATTCCTTCAAAAGAGGGCTACACAATGTTCCCTGAACATTAAAACATAAGCTCTTTAGGATGAAAGGAAGTAAACTTCAAATACTATGGACCTTCATGGACAATGAGACCTAGTAGTTCCAACCAAGATCAAGGTCCTGTTGCATTAATTGCTATACAAAATAATTAAGCATTAGTTCAGTCTTTGAACTATCAATATTGCTCCCCTGTGAAGACCACTGATTCCCCTGCTGTTACAGAGGACATGTCAGAAGTAGGGTAAAGGTGGCTGCACCTTTGACTGCTGTATGTACAAAAAATACCACTAACATTTGGGAAACCAGAACCTTCACCTTGGTGTCAACAGATTATGGGTTCAGTTCAGTCAGACTGTTTACTACCCTAGAAATTAAATGCGCTTGGTAGAACTGTTGTCATGAAGAGAAATGGTTTTCACAGAGGGATTTTTAACAGTAGCTCATACTCAGAAAACTAGTTACACTTCCTGGGATGCAGCCTGGCCTACAGCCTGAGGGCTCTTGCATCCTTGTTCCCAAAACCACACATCATAGGACAAGAATCCAAATATAACCAGTGACTCATGAGGAGCTGATCAAGCATACTACACTGTGCTTCCCAATAGCAGAGGCAGCCCTCAGCACCCATCTATATCCAGAGAGAGGGTCAAAAGGAAAGAATCCAAGCAGGTTACACATTTTAACATCATAGATCAGGGAAACCCGAACTCAAAGGGGAACTGCCAGTCTAATATAAATCAGGAAGATCCAGGCAAATGAACTGTCAGTGACCCATTCAAGTCACTAGGACCCCTGTCAAACATCACATTTATCACACTATTAATGTGTTATTCACACAATAAATTGATTGCATCATGCGTTAATTTGAATGTGGCATGTTTAAGTTTAAAGCAGTGCCAAGGAACCCAGCACTGGAGACCAGTCCCTAATGCTGGGCTGTCTGGTGCCACTTCAAAGGACCAACAGGGTAGGGAGCCCAGGATCACAGTCCAAGGCTTCCCACCAACAATTTTAAAGCTGCACTAGAGACCCTGGCACTGGGGACTGGCGTCTGATGCCATACTACCCAATGCTTTTAAAAGGATGTTTGATGGAATCTGAAAAGTTTTATCCCAGACCCTAAAGAAAAATCACACGTCCTGCTATACCAGATCTTGAATGTCAAGTACAGCAGCATGCACAGTTTTGGGGAAGTGACAAATTCATCAGATCCCATCATACAGTTGAATCAGTGTCCACCAGGAGCCTAGATTTTAAGGAAAATGAGATCTATATTGTACATGCAATTAAAATGAAGGTACCTGTATATGCCTAGCCACAAACTGCATACGGATGGATACAGAAAGATTTCATGGACTTACACATTGCCACACAATATGCCAGACCTGATCTGAAATTAATATAAATGTGTCTATTTGCACCAAACAGGAGCAAGTAACCTTACATCTTAGGTTAAGTGCAGTCTTTCAGCACCCCACTGTTCTGCATATCCAGCGGGAACAGATCTAATAGTGGCAAAGGCCACTGTAGTGCCGACACTGCTGCCACCACCTGCAGGCAGTCACCGTGCCCCCCACCACCACCTCTGGGGGCACACAGTGTTCATGCTGTAGTCCCCCATGTCCGTGCTAGGAAGCTGTGACAGATGTGCAGTCAGTTTAACAATGGACTCCACAGTATCCAGAAGTACATCAGAGGATTGTTTCCTTACAATCCTCAAGCCCTTACTGGGCAAATAAATTCCCCTTCTGTAGTCTGCCCTAATAGCCATGGCTCCATTTAACAGTGGGCAAGCACATAAGCTGGTTGGTCCTACCGAAACAACAGCAGTCTCAACCTTTTTGGACTTGAGGTATCCCTAGATAGATCCCTCAGGAAATGCCAGCTCTTCATTTTCACTCTTTTGTAACTATTGAATATAGAGCAGTTTTTCTGTTGCAAAGAACTCAGAAAAGCCACAAATATAGATTTCTATTGAAAACTTGGGGTTCATTTTGAGTCATATTTGAAAACTTAACGCTTACATTGTGTGGCATCCCATGGCACTTTTGAAAGGATCTCAAGATTGAGAATCACTGCGCTAAAAACCATCAAATAGCCTAAAGTGGGAATATGTTTAATTAGGGTTCAAGGTTAGCAGTTGAGAAGCATGGAGTTCGCACTGATCAGAGCAGTATCCTTCCACCTCTCCATAGTCGTCTTCCTGAGTCTACAAATAAACTATGTGTTGTATTTACATTTGTTTCACAAAGCAACCATCACCTTTGTAACTATTCATGACAACGATATCATTAAATCATCTCTTTAGATAATTCCCAGATGAATCTCATCAGCATACCTTTTACAATATAAAATGCATCCCAGCATACCAACAGAGGCTTCCTGCCTTACTTGTACTACAAAGCCCACATCTCCAAAGCATTTGAATAATTTCTGCTTGTTATGAGTTTTGCTCCCATAATCCAACAACACCCTTTTTGATGGTATTAGGGTATGGACAGACAACACAGTAATACTGATTTAAAGGGGGGCAAATGGTGAGGATGGGGGAATTACAATGTTAAGCTGATCAGTTATAAGTTTCATGTCGCCACACTGGTCTGTGGCAAGTGGAAGCAAAATGAACAGCCTCATTCTAGTATTGGTGCCTTCTCTTGCTGTAGGATTGGAGTGGATATACAAACAGTGAAAAAAGGATCAGCTGCTGTGTGAAAGTGGCTACCCTGCATACTTTTACAGCGGTACCAGTCCTTTGGCTGTCCACAGATTCAGTCGCAACTGAAGTAGCCATTCCTCTTCTGTGTTTGGGTTACTTTGCTAAGCCTTAAAACCTACTACAACAAAGCACTGAAGTGCTTGTTTGTTCTAATGCCGTGATGATACGCAAGGAACAGACAGATGGAAGATAACGAGACAGTTCGAAAGGAACATGAAGAAAGCTTATTAAAAACAGAAACATTATTATTTGCATTGAATGAAATCAGGACTGCTGAGAAGAACACAAATATATGCACGTGAAGACAACACAAGGAAAACATCTAGGGTGCTACCCATGAAATAACCATGTTCCTAAGAATCCTTTGACTATCTCTCTTGACTATGCCTTTGGCATCGCTACCCCTGCTTCTTCTGAGCTCTTGCCTATAAACCCTTTGGGGCAAGATTGTTTTGCCTGGCAAAAAAATGGAGTCTTCATGGTGACCAAATCCTACTGCATGGCAAACAATGATCATTAACCTTCTCCTTGGGCAAAGACAGCTCTTCAGATTTGCAGGGTCTTTTCCTGAAAGTGATTCAAAATTAGCATACAAATCATCAGAGTTTTATGGCTCATTCTCCAGGCAATGAACCCTCATGAAATTGTCACGAATGCATGTGATGAAGAGCTTGTGCTCAGATGTTTTACATCTCCCTTATGGAAGGAAGCCAGGGCAACCCTGTCAACAGCTTCTTTTCACTGTCAAAACACCAAGCATGAAAATAAAACAACAGCTGGAATCCCTGAAGTTTGTAGCCCATTGAAACCTACAATTCTGCCAAAGCAGTTATTGGGTGTCAACTGATTCATAGATGTTAGGGTCAGAAGGGACCTCAATAGATCATCAAGTCCAACCCCCTGCATAGGCAGGA